TACACTGTTACACTGAATACACTGTTCATACCTTATATCAAGCTCCAATTGGTATTCTTTTGACACATGGCTATATTGTAGAGACAATCTTACAGCTTACTCTTGATGTAATAAGTGTATCATCATAACCATGTAGCAACTGCAAAAGTCATAACTAGTTTTCCAATCAGCTAGTCAAGTGTAAGTCGCTACCATTGACTCTATATTTGCTGTTTTCAGAGTCCAGTGCAGTGACTGGTGTGAGTTCTCATTTCACTGTCTACTGTCAGATACAGTAGTAGTGGAAAAAAAATACAGCAACACTGTTTCTGTTGACATATTTTCTCACAACCAGTTAAATAATGAATGCAATTTTCCTTTCATTTCTATAAAAATAAATTTACACTAGAGTATTGTTGCCAATGAATATAAAAAAAAAAAATTAAAATGAAAATTCCAAGCAGTCAAGTGATGTATTTTGCTTATAGTTGACATCAATCCATTTCAATTAATTGGATTTTTTTTTTTTTTACAACAGTGAAAATGTCAGACTTTCCTCTGGTGATGTACGCAGGACTTTAGCAGTAATTAAACCCCATCCCTCCACCATCAACTGCAAGATCACATTCATATTTGAGTGTAACACCAATCAAAATCAATCAAATCCAAAAATCTATCAAAATCCAGTCAACAACGGATGAATAGAACCAAGACCCGCCCTACATTTTTTTCTTGTTGGATAAAAAACAATAAGAAATCCATAAGAAATTTGAAAAATGTTTTAGAGTAGCTTGAACGACAGTTTGAGTAGATTTTTTATCAATGAATAAGAACCGTTTTCCTTTGATTACAGCGTTGTTATTGAACCATAAAATGCAAAATAATGAATTTTTACAAACATTCTTGTACCTTAATTTATCTAAAAGCAAAATGAGATTTAACTGTGAGTTTCTGTTGTTACAATCAGTTTAACTGGTAAGATCCTCAGAGGGGAAGTTGTGCAGTGATTATATAAGAATGGAAAGACAGTCTCTGTGAAGGTTGTTGTGAATGAGCAGAGACAGATGTTAGTTAGAGGATCAGAGAAGGACACCTTTCCTCTGTCACAGTCCAGCTGAACTCTCACACACTGCAGCTTTTCTTTAACTGTAACGTAAGTCAGAGGTTGATCTGGTGATTGTGAGCTGTATTTGCTGTCTATGTACCGCACACGCCAGACATTAGTGTTAAAGAAAACGTCTCCCTTCCTTTGGTTTGATGCTGTGGTTATTCCAACACTCCAGAGTGAATTGTCTCCAACCTCCACATCCCAGCAGTGTGTTCCTGAGTTAAAGCCCTCAGAACCCAGAACACATCCATACCTGTCAAACCTCTCTGGATTACCAGGAAGATTTTGACGTAAATCTCTGTACGACACACTGGTCAAATCAGAAGAGAGTGTGAGCCAAGGAGCTGCTGTGTTTGGATCTAGAGTCAACGGAGCTGCAAATAGAATTAAATCAGATTAGAGGATGAAATATGATGGTATTAGAAATGTAAACCTAATACATTGTAGCGTATGGACCAATCAGACGCACCGTTTTTAATTAGATTTAACAAATCAATTATTCATTAGATCAGTGTTTCCCAACCGGGAAAACTATCAAACTTAGTCTTATTAATTGATACATTAAGTATCATCTGCACCTTTTTTCAAAGGTGTGTTTGAACTAAGAAACTGATGTTTCCTTCAGGCTGTAGATCTGCTGAATATCCAATGACACCATAGCTTCATATTTTTATTTCTCTTCTTTTTACTGCCTAAGCTTTAACTCCTTTTCCTATACCAACTGTATGCATGTGTGTGTGTGTGTGTGTGTGTGTGTGG